GATTGATTCTTAATCAAAAGAGGCATCCCTTCAAACTCCTTCTCATTTGCAAACTCAATTTGTCCATTTGCATTAATCATCATAACTAGTTTGTTTAGGCACTTGAGAGCTTTGTGTCCCCATCCTTGGCATTTATAACATTGGATATCCCAACTTTGAATAGTAGAAATAGGAGTGTTGCTTGAGAGCTTAGGCATTTCCACCATAGGTTTTGAAGGTACTCTATCATCCATTGGCTTATCCCTTGCAGTGATAGGTGTAGAAAATGAGTTGGATTTGTAGCCACCCCTTCTCTTCAACTGTCTCTCAATTTTGATAATCTTTTGTACCATCTCCTCCAACTCCATGTAGTGCTACAATTCAACTACATTTATGATATTTGGATTCAACCCCTTCAAGAATCTAGCCATTGTAGCCTTCAAATCCTTTATCATGTCTACCCTCATCATCGCCTTCTCCATTTCTTTATGGTAATCTTCAACAGTTAGATCAGCCTGCACCAAATTTTGCAGCTTTTGATGGAGGTATTTGTGGTAATATGCAAGAACGAATCATTTTCTCATCAAGGCTTTGAGCTCCTACCAAGTACTGATAGATCACTCACCCATCTTCTTCTACTGATAGTTAGCTAGTCCCACCAAGTGATTGCATAGTCTGAAAACTCCACCACATCCAACTTAACTTTTTGCACCTCAATGTAGTTATGGTAGTTGAAAACAAGTTCCATCCTATGCTCCCATTCTAGGTAAGTTTCAGGGTTAGATTTCCCTTGAAAAGAAGGGATCTTAAGCTGCACTCCCTTCATCAAGCATCATTATCTCGATGGTTCCTCCTAGATGGTCTCTTAAGCGCAACTTCAGATTCTTCTTCTTCAGTCATGGGGTATTCTTCCTCTAAATTCCGACATCTTGTTTTTCCACGATTGGGAGTGTGACTCTCATGTTTGAACTGTTGCTCTTGTGAAATCTCAATCCAATCTAGACGTTCATGGATGGATTGCATTTTGGTTTGCATCAATCTGTTGGAATGTATGCCCTAAAATAATGTATTTATTTTTATTTTATACATTCCTAAATTATATGTTTTGTATTTTAATAATTTCTTATTTATCTGTTAAATATTAGATATAACTAATAAAATCTTTAGAATGTTTACTAATGTGATGGTAGTCACAAGAGGTGATGACTATGAGATATCAATCGCATTTATAGTAATATTCTTAAAATTCCCTAGTTATAGTACTAATGCTAGTTATAGTACTAATGAAATAGGACATCTTTAGTACTGTAAAACTAGTACACAGTTAGCCTCTAATTAATGTAATTAGTGGTTGTTCTCATCAACTATGGTATGATGATACCTAGGCTAATGTGTAGATGATTTGGAAAGTACAAATGCATTGGAATGATCCATTTAGAGATCTCGTTAGGATATCTATCTAGTGTCAATGGTGTATCTCTAGTGAAAAATTGTGTAAGTGATCCTACGACTTGAGATCACCATAGTATCTTGAGTGTGAATCGCTACATTTTGACTCTAATTACTTGTTACTCTTCGTGAGTGCCTTAAAGTATAGAAGTTGGATGTAGTGTAAAGCATGTAACGAGAATGGGTGATCGAGATAGGATTTACCACTCTGATAGAAGGAGTTGATATCCGAATGGCCACTAGTGGAAAATTGGCCCTAAAGTCGACTATTAGGTAAATTGAAGAATGTCTTTAATTTAACCTAATTCAGGGTAAATTTCGGGAACTAGAAAACTTAATTAGTCATCAGGGAATTGGCACTTATTCCTTATTCTTGACTAATTGGATATCTTTGGTGAAAGGATAATAATTACACGGTAATTTTTCACGGAAAGGTTAGGTCAAATTCCCTTGACTAATTCCGAGTAATTGGGCGGTTGCGATGTGTTGCTAGACACCGCTCGTGATCTATAATTATGGATTAATTATTTATTATAAGTTATGATAAAATAAAGTCGTTTATTTTATCTAATTATTAAGCCATAATTATTACCAATTTATTCGGGACCTATTGGGTCACACGCAATAGAGATTTAATCCTGGATTAAAACTATGTAAATTATCGGGGTTTAATTTTAAAAGAAAATAAATCCTAGGCCTATTTAAGTAAATAAGAATGAACGATTATCTCTTATCTGTCAGATAACTGATAGATAGAGTCTTGTGTGATGAGAAGTCGTATCGTTTGATTTTGAATCAAACAGAAAGACTCATCATTCTATCTTTTGATCTCTCTTTCTCCTTTTAACTCCAAAAGGGGAGATAGAGGAGGGGGTTGAGAGGGTGAAGGTAACAAAAAGGCAAAAGGGAGAATCTATGAGTGTCACATATTTTTCGAATAAGAGTAAGAAGGGCTAGCAACTTTTTCTTGCTCTTCAATACATAGTTCGTGAGACCACCCAGGGTTGCTCTAGTGTGGATATCAGTAGAGGCAGGACGACTGGACTGCTCAAGGGCTGACCATCCTCAAACAACGCTGCAGGGAGATGCCGCTTGGATTAAGGTAATCATAAAACTCTACTTTTAGTACATCATACGTAAAATCTAGGGTGATTCCTGGATGATTTTAGGGAAAAAATTTTTATTTTTTCGCTGCGTAGTATCCCTAAAACCCAACAGTGGTATCAGAGCCATCCCTAAGAATTTTACGTACGATGTTAAGTAATTTTGGATTCATGGATTAATACTACTGAATGGATTTAATTAATATGCGAAATTATGGGAAAATTAAATTTTGTTTTTTTTAAAAAAAAAAAAGGTTTTTCATGAAAGCTTTTGAAAACTGCGTTATGCGCACGAAGCTTTGGAAGTTGCGGACATCATAAGCACCTGTTTTTTTTCCCTTCTTTCATGGATTTGCGTCACCCATGGTCATAGTTGATCATCTGCAAAAGTTGCAAGATGATCATTGAACAAAAAGAAAAAAAAAACCGACATAGCAAGTTTGCATTTGCAAACCTGCGGCTGCTGCGATGTTGCGGCTGCAAAGGCTGCCGCCAGCTGCTGCTGCCATGTGAGGCCATGGTGGCTTTCCTTGGTGGCAGTGGGAGATTGTACGCCTGGTGGTGGTTGCTGGGTAGAAGAGCTATGAGCTCTCTGGGACAAAAGCGCAGCTCATTTGCTGCAGACATCGGCAAGGGCACAGCAGCCTCCTCACGGTTGCTACCCATGACCTCCGATGGCTGCTACCAGGAGTCGCTGCCACTGGTGGTCAGTGGAGACTCCAGTGGTGGTGGCTATTGCGGTGGTAGCTCCGCTATCCAGCAAGCAGGCGCGATAACGAAGAGCAGCAGCAATCAAGCACGGGAAAACTTTGGTGTTGCAGCCGAGTGGTTGCTTCCAGTGGTGGCTGTCGCTGGGAGTTGCTGTCGTTGATGGTCAGTGGAGACCTCAGCGGTGGTGGCTGAAGTGGTAGTGTCCAGTGGTAGTTGCCGGAAGTGCTAGAAAACAAGAGCAGTAGTAGTTTAGGAAACTATTGTTTTGAGAATTTGAAATTTTAAAACTTTTGACAATTTTTGAATTAGATCCCTTTTTAATTGTTAAAATGTGTTATGGGATCTATTATTCATATTTATTAGGTTGGGAATTGATTCACAATTAATTTGATTAATTGAAATTATCTTTCCAATTATTTTCCTAATTTAGTTAGGAATAACAATGGCCTAATAAAAAATTAATTTTACCAAAATTTTCTCGCATATGCATGGACCCAAATTTTGTTTGGGACCTTAGGAATTAAATCCAATTAATCCATGAATTGAGATTGCTTATTTTACATGCTTTTCTTTTATTTAAAGTTGTTTAAATCGTGAAGATGCATGGTGGATGGTTGTGGATATAGTACGCAATATGATTGTGGTATTTTGGAAGGTTACAATCATTCTAGGTTTGAATGGTTGTAATTAATTTTAAAATAGGGCCTGCGTGTCCTGCATTTCTTATTTTCTAATTGTAAATTCTTTTCTCATCTAAATTTCCCCCGAATGTAATTCGGGGTTTCTTCTATACTATTTGTAATGTACAATAGATAGGAATAGATGATAGGAATTTATATAATTTATATAGAAATTGTAACTTTGAAAAGAAGAAAGGAGGCATACTACAACGAAGGAGTTCGTCTCGGTATTAAAGATTTTAGTCTCATGCTAATTTTCCTAATGGCCGAGGAAATTAGTTTAGGAATATCTACAACCATCCACGATTTAAATTCATGTTTATACGTTTTTGAAATGGTTATATGCATGTTTATTGATGAGACCAGACGAGCAATTTTTCCAAATTTTAATTATAAAATATTTTTGAAAAAAGGAGACAAATCCCTCAACAATAATATTAAATCAATAAAATGTCTTCCATCATTATAGTATAAAACTAGAGTAGTTATTAAGTGCTAGATTGTTGGGATTCACCCAAGGCTGCCTTACTTACTACGTGTTTTTGCTATGAGAAATGTTCTCAAGAATGATGGGTTTGATTTAGTTAAAATTATGATTTGTTGGGATTCACTCAAAATCATTAAATTTAGAAGCAAGTGTTGGGTTGATTCATAGAGATTTAAAGTCAAGAGTTGACACCCAACTGATCTAGGAATTACAATAAGTTGTAATTGGTAAAAGTACCTACCTTTCATAATTATTTTTGATTTGTTGGGACACACTCAAGGTCGAAATAAATAAAGATAGGATCCTAGCCACTATGGAATTTTAGAAATTCCCGATTCAATTTTAGAGGGTAATTGATTTGAAAAAAATCGTGGAAATAAAATCATAATTTTGAAGTTTTATGATTTTATTAAACAAAACATTTTTCTAACGAATTCTATCTTTCATTTTATTGTAGAATGAGTAACAATTTGAGCCTTTCGTACTATTCTTACTGATTGCAAACTCAACGACACGAACTTCCTTGATTGGCATCGTAATGTCCTTATCGTTCTCACTCATGAGAAAATTGAGTATGTACTTGATGGTCCAATGCCTCAAGAGCCTGAACCTACTGCACCTGCTGCTGTTAGAAATGCTTATAAGAAACGTAAGGATGACAATAGGGAAGCTTCATGTATCATGATAGCTTCCTTGACTCCTCAGCTTCAGCAGCAGCACATGAACATGGGAGCGTATGATATTGTACAACACCTGAGAGAGTTGTTTGAACAACAATCGAGGACAGTTAGATATGATACCTCTAAAGAATTGTTCAGGTGCAAGATGGCAGAGGGAGCACCTGTTGCTCCGCATGTCTTAAAATAATTGGGCTAATTGAAAAACTGGCCGAATTAGGTTTTAAGATGGATCAGGAGCTAAATATTGATTTAGTGCTCCAATCTCTACCAGATTCTTTCTCACAGTTTGTTATGAACTATCAGATGAATAATCTGCAGCACACTTTGTCTCAATTGTTGAATGTGCTAAAAACTGTTGAGAAAGAAATCAAAAAAGGAAAAGGCTCTACTGGTGTGCTTGTCGTTACTTCCTCTAAGAAGAGGAAGAGGCAAGAAAAGGGATTTAAGAAATCCAAAAACAAGCCCACCCAAAAGCCCAAAAAGGCAAAGGCGGACCAGTCCAAAGCAACCTGCTTCCATTGTGATCAAATTGGACATTGGAAAAGGAACTGCAAGTCATACTTGTAGAGCCTGAAGCAAAAGAAGCTTGTTGAAGCTTCATCATCAGGTACATATATGATTGAGATTAATGTGTCTACTTCCAAATCAGACTCTTGGGTATTAGATACCGGATGTGGTTCTCATATTTGCACATCTATGCAGGGTCTAAGGGACAGTAAAAAGTTGGGAAAAGGAGAAGTCACTTTACGTGTGGGCAATGGAGCAAAAGTTGCTGTTTTAGCTGTAGGGACTTATTATATCACTTTACCCAGTGGATTGATTTTAAAATTATTAAATTGTTATTGTGTTCCAGCACTTACTACAAACATCATTTCTATTTCCTGTTTGGATTTAAATGGGTTTCGGATAACCCAGGAGAATAAATGTTGTTCTTTTTCTAAAAATAGTGTGTTTTATGGTTCTGGAAGGTGGAATAACGGTTTATATATTCTAGATCTTGATCATCAAAATCTCAATGTGAGTGAAAAAGGAATGAGAACAGATAAACTAAATAAAACCTACCTCTGGCACTGTAGGCTTGGTCATGTAAATGAAAAACGCATCTTCAAGTTATACCGACATGGATATTTGGATTCATTGGATTATGAATCATATGATACATGCGAAGCTTGTTTACTTGGCAAAATGACCAAAATGCCCTTTACTGGAAAAGGGGAACGAGCCAGTGATTTACTTGGGCTAGTACATACTGATGTATGCGGCCCAATGTCGATCACTGCTAGAGGTGATTTTTCATACTTCATCACCTTCACAGATAACCATTCGAGATATGGTTACGTGTATTTAATGAAATACAAATCTGAATCCTTTGAAAAGTTTAAGGAATTTAAGAATGAAGTAGAAAAATAAACCAATAAAAGTATTAAGACACTACGATCTGATCGTGGTGGAGAATACTTAAATGACGAGTTTGGAGTTTATTTAAAGGATAATGGAATAGTTCCACAATGGACTCATTCAGGTACACCACACTTAAATGGTGTATCTGAAAGGAGAAACCGAACCTTATTAGATATGGTTCGTTCTATGATGAGCCACTCAAATGCCCCAAAATCATTTTGGGGATTTGTATTAGATGCAGCCTCTTATACTCTTAATAGAGTACCCACTAAAGTTGTTGACTCCACACCATATGAGATATGGAAAGGAAAGAAATCAAACCTGTCTTATATGAAGGTTTGGGGCTGCCCAGCTTATGTGAAGAGGGCAGAGTCAGACAAGCTTGAAGCTAGATCTGACAAATGTTTGTTTGTAGGGTATCCAAGAGAGTCTATAGGATACTATTTCTACAATCCAATTGAGCAAAAGGTGTTTAACACAAAACATGCTATTTTTCTAGAGAAAGAATATATTCTAGAGAGAAGCAGTGGGAGTAGAATAGATCTTGAAGAAATTCAGGATCATCCAACAAACATTGAACGATCTAATGAAGAACAGCTTCAACCACATAATGATGGGGCAAATACTAAAGCTGTTGATACACAAGGGCTTCGTAGGTCAGTAAGAACGCGCTCAACTCCCAAGAGATACCAATTTCTTGTGAGCCATAGCAATGATGTTCTAGTCATTCAAGATGACGAATCTACTACCTACCAAGAGGTAATAAGTAATCCAAACTCCTCTAAATGGTTAGAAGCCATGCATTCCGAAATAAATTCCATGTATGACAATAAGGTGTGGACCTTAGTTGATCCACCTGAAGGGATAAAACCTATAGGGTGTAAATGGATCTTCAAGAAAAAGACTGACATGGATGGTAATATGGTTACCTATAAAGTTAGACTGGTAGCCAAAAGCTACAAGCAGAAAGAGGGAATCGATTACGATCAAACTTTCTCACCAGTAGCTATGCTTAAATCCATTCAGATATTGCTTGCCATAGCAGCATATCATGACTATGAGATTTGGCAGATGGATGTGAAGACCGCGTTTTTTAACGGGACATTGCATGAGGATGTGTATATGACACAACCTGAAAGCTTTACATCTACAAATCCTAGTCAAATATGTAAGTTACAAAAGTCTATTTATGGACTTAAGCAAGCATCTAGGAGTTGGAACATTCGATTCAATTAGACGATCAAAGAGTTTGGATTTCTCAAGAATCCGGATGAACCTTGTGTGTATAAGAAAGTTAGTGGGAGTTCAATTATTTTCCTTATTTTATATGTAGATGACATATTAATAATGGAAAACAATGGGTTATTTGAAATATTATTTAGAATAATTACTGTAGTACTTTTTGTGATGTGATGTATGTGAGATAAAAAGGTGGTTGGGAATATAAAAAGGTGGGTTGAAAAATGTGTTTATGATGCAAGCGAAATATTATTTGGGATAAGTTTTGTATCCAAACACTCCCATTATATACCGATGTTACAATCGGTAAAGGGTTGGTTGTCAAAGAACTTTTCCATGAAAGATTTAGGAGAAGCGGCCTATATATTAGGCATTAAGATCTATAGGGATAGATCTAATAGGCTACTAGGTCTTTCACAATCTACATACATTAATAAAATGTTAAAGAGGTTTAGCATGGATCAGTCTAAGAGGGGTAATTTACCTAGGACTCATGGTATAAGCCTTTCTAAAAACATGTGTCCAAAGACACAAGTTGAGGCTGATAAGATGCACAATGTTCCATATGCTTCGGCAATTGGATCAATTATGTATGCTATGTTATGTACAAGACCTGATGTCTCCTATGCTCTGAGTGTCACAAGCAGATTTCAGGCTAATCCAGGTGAGGGTCATTGGATAGCCATTAAGAACATTCTTAAGTACTTAAGAAGGACCAAAGATTTGTTCTTAATTTATGGAAAGGGTGAATTAGAACTCAAAGGTTATACTGATGCAAGTTTTCAATCAGATAAGGATGATTGTAAATCACAGTCAGGCTTCATTTTTACTCTTAATGGAGGTTCTGTCTGTTGGAAGAGTTCCAAACAAGACACCACAGCAGATTCTACAACAGAGGCTGAGTACATTGTGGCCGCGGAAGCAGCTAAGGAAGCAGTTTGGATCAAGAAGTTCGTAACTGAACTTGGTGTGGTTCCAACCATTGTTGATCCGGTCACTTTGTACTGTGATAACAATGGAGCTATAGCTCAAGCCAAGGAACCTAGGTCTCATCAGCGATCCAAACATGTGCTTAGGAGATTTCACTTGATTAGAGAAATCGTTGCTAGGAATGATGTAAAGATAGAGAGAGTTTCCACAGAGGATAACATAGCTAATCCTCTTACTAAAGTTCTTCCTCAAAAGAAGCATGATAGTCATGTATTATCTTATGGGATGAAAAACATGGATAATGTGTTTTAGTGCAAGTGGGAGATTGTTGGAATGTATGCCCTAAAACAATGTATTTGTTTTTATTTTATACATTCCTAAATTATATGTTTTGTATTTTAATAATTTCTTATTTATCTGTTAAATATTAGATATAACTGATAAAATCCTTAGAATGTTTACTAATATGATGGTAGTCACAAGAGTTGATGACTATGAGATATCAATCGCATTTATAGTAATATTCTTAAAATTCTCTAGTTATAGTACTAATGAAATAGGACATCTTTAGTACGGTAAAACTAGTACACAGTTAGTCTCTAATTAATGTAATTAGTGGTTGTTCTCATCAACTATGGTATGATGATACCTAGGCTAATGTGTAGATGATTTGGAAAGTACAAATGCATTGGAATGATCCATTTAGAGATCCCGTTAGGATATCTATCTAGTCCCAATGGTGTATCTCTAATGAAAAATTGTATAAGTGATCCTACGACTTGAGATCACCATAGTATCTTGAGTGTGAATCGCTACATTTTGACTCTAATTACTTGTTACTCTTCGTGAGTGCCTTAAAGTATAGAAGTTAGATGTAGTGTGAAGCATGTAAAGAGAATGGGTGATCGAGATAAGATTTACCACTCTGATAGAAGGAGTTGATATCCGGATGGCCACTAGTGGAAAATTGGCCCTAAAGTCGCTTATTAGGTAAATTGAAGAATGTCTTCAATTTAACCTAATTCAGGGTAAATTTCGGGAACTAGAAAACTTAATTAGTCATCAGGGAATTGGCACTTATTCCTTATTCCTGACTAATTGGATATCTTTGGTGAAAGGATAATAATTACACGGTAATTTTTCAAGGAAAGGTTAGATCAAATTCCCTTGACTAATTCCGAGTAATTGGGCGGTTGCGATGTGTTGTTAGACACCGCTCGTGATCTATAATTATGGATTAATTATTTATTATAAGTTATGATAAAATAAAGTCGTTTATTTTATCTAATTATTACCAATTTATTCGGGACCTATTGGGTCACACGCAATAGAGATTTAATCCTGGATTAAAACTATGTAAATTATCGGGGTTTAATTTTAAAAGAAAATAAATCCCATGCCTATTTGAGTAAATAAGAATGAACGATTATCTCTTATCTGTCAGATAACTGATAGATAGAGTCTTGTGTGATAAGAAATCTTATCGTTTGATTTTGAATCAAACAGAAAGACTCATCATTCTATCTTTTTATCTCTCTTTCTCCTTTTAACTCCAAAAGGGGAGATAGAGGAGGGGGTTGAGAGGGTGAAGGTAACAAAAAGGCAAAAGGGAGAATTTGTGAGCGTCACATATTTTTCGAATAAGAGCAAGAAGAGCTAGCAACTTTTTCTTGCTCTTCAATACATAGTTCGTGAGACGACCCATGGTTGCTCTAGCGTGGATATCAGTAGAGGCAGGACGACTGGACTGCTCAAGGGCTGACCATCCTCAAACAACGCTGCAGGGAGACGCCGCTTGGAATAAGGTAATCCTAAAACTCTACTTTTAGTACATCATATGTAAAATCTAGGGTGATTCCTGGATGGTTTTAGGGAAAAATTTTTATTTTTCCGCTGCGCAGTATCTCTAAAACCCAACACAATCGCCTCACCTCCTTTTCATAACCTCCATGATCAACTTTGAGTCAACCAGATAGGAATATGAATCTTCCTTGCTA